TTATTAAAATATTATTAAGTGCATACATAATAAAAATAAATTAATTATTAATTCGGCTATAATCATTTAATATTTATATTAATTCATAAATATATAAGTAATGTTAATTATTAATATTGTTATTATCAATAATAATAATTAATAATAGTGTTATTATCCATTAATTAATTGATTTATAGTGAAAGTTAAATTATAAAACTTTCAATTATTCAACATTGTTAACTAAACTAATTATAAAGGCAATTATTATTTCATTAATTAACTAAAAAAATTAATTATAACAAATTTATTACTTAATATGCACATTAAGTGCTTACATAATAAGAATATATTATTACTTAATAATAATAATATTATTATTATTTCTGATTTTATAATTTTTAATATATTAATAATACTGATTTTTAATAAAATTGATGAGGGTGGATTTGGCCCTCCAATGATATTGTGACACATGGCACCTCGGAACAACTAGGTGACACCCGGAACCACTTTGGCAACAACTTGCCTTAGCCAAGTTGATGGTGTTCCACCTGGCGGCCCAGGCGCGGCCTCGTGGCCTGGCCTTGGCGCGACCTGGCCTTAGCGCAAGCTGGCAGCCTAGCACAGGCACGACCTGGTGGCCTGGCACAGGTGTCGACTTGGCGACTTGCAAGATGTGCTCGCCAACGAATTCGGCATGCATATCCAAACACTCCTACGATCCTTGGAAGTTGGCCCACGTGCCGAACGATCCGGAAGGTGGTCAATGTGCATGGCGGTTACTTCCAGGAATCTCGACCACTTAGACGACCTCGTAGAAATCTTGGATATGATGCGTGAAGCCCATGCCAAACAATGCCTATATAAAGGCACCAACCCCAATGGCAAGTAGGCGAGTAAAAAAGTAAGCAAGTAGGCAAATTCTAGCTCTCATACTTTGTGATTTTTAGCTCGCAGTCTACTATGAGAGTACTGACTTAAGCATCGGAACGACCTCGCCGAGTTAGCCACCCCAGGTCCTCTGACATTTGGTTCCTTGCAGGTCTCTAAAGAGCAATGAAGCTTATCAATCCAGTTCGTCACCAGGCAGCTCGACACCTCACAGGCAGCCCAACGCCTCACAAGCAGCTCGCCACCTGGTCAACCCTACACCTGGTGAGCTCGGCGCCTCACAGGAAGCTCGCCACCTGGTCAGCCTTGCACCTCACAGGTAGCTTGACACCTGGTCATCCCGGCACCTCACAAGCAGTTCGGCCTGGTCAACTCGGCATCCAGGTCCTCATCTAGCAAAAGTTCTCCACTTCGGCCTCTGAATCATCGACTACTTGGAAGCAGACCAAATGACAAGGTACTTAGCCAAAAAATTGGCCATCACCAAAAATCGATTCATCAAAAATGTTGGTAATAACAAACTTTATTTACTTAAAATTATTTGTTGAAATTACCCATCTTAATTCGAACTGATAATTAAATATTAATTTTAATTACTTCAAATTATTATTTACTGATAATAATGATACTTATTAATTCAGAATGATAATTAATAGCAAGTTTAATTATTATATTTATTAATTCGGATACAAGCATTGCATATTTATATTAATTAATGATAAATACTGATAATTATTACTAATAATTATCATTAATTAATTCAGTTTGGTTTTAAACCAAACTTGGTTAAATTAAATACTATAATTAATAGCACTATTAATAATAATATTTTTATGTTCATATTAATTAATAATAATTAATTTATAATCATACAAGTAATGTTAATTATTAAATGTTAATCATAATTAACATGAATTAAGTTAGTTTGTTTTTAAACCTAACCCAATTTAATTAAATACTGATAATTAGTAAAGATGTTAATAATTAATATTATTATTCTTAGTTAATAATTAATAATAATAATAATAATAATTAATAGATTATTATTATTATTACTATTATTATTATTACTACTACTAACATTAATATTATTAATTAAAATATTATTAGTATTACTACTATGATTATTATTACTAGTTTTATAATTGTTATTGTATTATTAATATATTATTGAAATTATTATCAATAATTATTATTAATAATATTATTATTATCCAATATTTATTTGTTTTAGTGAAATTCAAATTATAAAACTTTCAATTATTCAATATTGTTAAACTAAATTGATTATAAATGCAATTATTATTAATTTTCTAATGAAGACTATGAATTCATAAAACTGATATTATCAAATAGTTTCAAAATTGAAAACTTAGTCTACTCAAAAACTGTGTGTGTGTGTGTGTGTATGTATAGAGAAATGCTCTAGTAAATTAGAGATAAGAGATAAATAGGAATTGGAGATGATTTAGGAGAAAGTGGGGGAGATAGTTTAAGATAAATTTTAGGAGAGGATATTGTTGGAAACGTGTGGGTAAAAGAGGGAGAGATTTTAGATAAATTTTCATGAGAAATGAGAGCATCTAATCGGTTCTTTAAAAAATGACATTGAATAAAAAATAAAAAATGAGAAAATTTCTTCACCGCTTTGTTTTAATATATACACACACACACACTAGTGAATGATCCCGTACTAAGTACGAGGAATCAGTAATGTTAAATTTACATTATGGAATCAATAATGTTAAATTTATATTTATTATTATTTTAACTAATTATTAAAATTTCAAGAAATATTTATTTCAAAAAATAGCTTTTCAATAATTATTAAAATATGGATATTTTTCTTTTGTTATGATACGTAGAGGGTTAATGATTAATTGAAATTGATAGAATGTAAGTATAAGTGGTTATGAATAACCACTTTTGCATTTTCTGCATTTTTTAGGAAAAGTGGCGGGTTGTCGAAGCCCTCAAAATTAATGCTAGTCCCACAATAAAATTTTTGTAGTAATAGTGGTATTAGGTCGAATCCCACAAGGAGCTAGGGAATAATTTCTCAGCCGAATGAGTAATATAATGGAGTGGGAAAATTAATTAATTAAAATTTCTAAAAGAACAAGAAAGCAATAGCAAATTCAACTAACAAGATATAATCAGTCTTATCGAATTCTGATTCAAGGGTTCAGGTTAGTCAATTGGTCATCGATCATAGGTAGACTTCGGCAGTCTTGCAATTCAAGCATTTAACCTTAGATTTATTAGGATAGCCATAATAAACCTTATGTTTTCCTAAATCGGCTGACCAAACCCAACATTTGATCAACACTTATCACTAATCGACTGGGTACAATAGCGCTCCATATTAACTAGTGATAGCATTAAACTTTGTGAAAACAGTTAAACCAAAATAACAATAATTGAGATAGCTGCAGTTATCGAATCTTGTTCTATTGATTCCCTTTAGGTTAAAACATGTCAATACATTGGTCAAAGGCTGTCACGAACAATTGATCTATAAAGATATTTACCTAATTGCTACTTGTACCACTATTCATGACAATTATGGATCACTGAACCATGGATAGCAGTAGGAAAATCAACATTAATTAATTTGTCAGACTAATTAACATTAACATCCATAGAGAATAAGCACAAGAATCAACAAATACTTGAATTAAAAAGCAAGATATTGAATTAAATACAGAACTTCACGATGACACAAACGAACCTCCCCCCTTGAACTAAAAGAGAAAGCTTAGTTGCTCATGATTTTCGAATTCTCCAAGCTTTGCTTCTCAGAAAGCCGAACTGATATTTCTTGGTTGAATTGCTTGATGCTTGATTGATGGATCGTTGGATTGATGCCTAAAGCTGGTCCCCCCCTCCCCCCTTTATATAGCTTTAGGAAGAGGGGCTCTCTCCAACTCCCTTTAGGAGATTAACTTTTAAAATTAGAAAGTCCTAATCTGATCTACTTCTGTCTTATCCTATCTAGTAATCTCAATCTCTTATTTTTTTAGGATTACAATTGAAATTTAAATCTGATAGGATTCTTCATTATTGAATTCGAGTTGGGTTTTTTTAATAACTTGGGCCGCTACAAGACTCTTATGCGAATTTGGGCTTCAGTTGTGGGCTAGGCTTTACTACAAAATTGTTTCGACTTAGGGTCCGATTTTGACCTTGATGACCAAATATGTCAAAACCCAAAACATGAGAGTTGTGGGCCTTTCCCTTATATTTCCAGTGCATCTTGAATCATCCAAATCGGAGTCCGGGATCGAGAATTAAGCCCAGATTATTGAATAATGCCGAAACTGTGCAAAATCATCCAATTAGCCTTATTTTCTTCCAATCGCTTTCTTGCTTGCCCTGAATCGAAATACAAGAGTAATGAGTCCAATTGAGTGCTAAATTAATGTAAAAAAATGAATATTTGGGGATAAAAATATGATACTTTTTGTTCTCATCAAATAGATTGAAAATTGTAGTAGTGGGAATAAGAAAACACTGTTTCAAGGAGAAGAGAAGAGAAAGTGAGGGAGAAGAAAACACTGTGTCTGTGAATGTATCTACGAACCCAAAAGAAGAAGAGAGGAGAGAAAGGGAGGAAGGGAGTGTCTTCGATCTGTGTCTGCGAACCCATGGCAAAACTTAGATCTGTGTCTACGAACCCAGATATGTGTCTGCGACTGTCTGCAAACCTAGAAGACGAAAGAAAAGAAGAGAGGAGAGAGGGAGGAAGGGAGTGTCTCCGATCTGTGTCTACGAACTCAGATCTGAGTTCTACCATGGCAGAACTTAGATCTGTGTCTGCGAACCCAGAAGAAGAGATGAGAGAGGGAGGAAGGGAGTGGCTGAGAGGGGGTGCCGCCACCGTTGCTCTGTTTCTAGGTTCGAACGGGGAATGGTACCGTCGTCACTGGTTTCGCCGAAAGAGAAAATGAATGGTTTCTTACATTTTTCCATTGGGGTCGCACGGTTTTGGTGCGACTCAAAATCCATTTCTAATATCCCACACTTTTCTCACCCCATCCCCCTCTTTCTCTCAAACCAAATACGAGAAAAGAAAATATTTTTTGGGATCAAATATCCTACTTCTCAACTTTCGCACGTTATAAGTGTGAGGGGAGAGAGAGGGCAGAGTCGGAGGACAGAGGCCAGCCGTCCCGGCGTCCCCCCATGCGAACGATACCGGTTACCCCAGTGGTCATGGGTCATGGGCCAAAGCGTCTTGTCATTGTCAGCTTCTTCTGTTGTCGCATCTCAATTTCTTTTCAAGCATTAAATGTTTGCCACATGGGCTTACCACCGGAACTCCTTATCCGCTGAAATCCCATATCTCCATCCTCGAATTCCCTAATGGCTGTTTATTTCGCAATCTTGGCAGATTTTCAAAACCAAAATCTCCTTACCAAATGGCCGCAACAACCCAATCTTTTGCCAATATCATTATCACAAAGCCTCTTTGCTGTTCAACTCCTCGGGTTCACGGCTTTTTTACTTCCCAACACCCAGTCTCTACTTCATTCGCGTCTGTGAGCTTTAAGTTCTTCCCACAAAAGCTACAAAATATCCAGCTTAAAGGAATTCAATTGAGGAAGCTCAGACCTACAAATGCTTCTGCTGCTGAAACGCCTTCATCAGAAAATGCTGAAAAATGGCTTCTTGAACCTGTAGGTCCGTTTTTACTGTCCTCTTTTCTATAGAATTGCTACATGGGTATGACAGAAAAAATGCACAATCTTAAATTTGATACTTGTGGATGTGGCCGAGATGAGGAAAAAGTTTTTTGGATATGTCTGTATTTGCCACAGGCCACATGACAAATTCATCGCCACGCCATCGCCGATTCCTATGCTTTGAGATGAGGAAAAAGTTGAAACTGTAGCAAGCGTTTTTGTTTCCTATCTGGAGTTGTCTTTATATTCTGTTCTTTTCAGCAAGCAACTGAATTTTTGAAGGTTAATTTTATTCATATTCCTGTGAAACAAGTGGAAAAGAGAAAAAGGGTCAATTACTCCAGTTTAAATAGATCACAATGAGTTCTATTTGAAATTTTGTATCTTCTTGAATTTCGTTTACATTTCCACCCAATATTTTTTGAGCATTTTCTCCAGGCCCGCTTATTAGATGGAATAAAGAGATGCGCGCCATCATAATTACATATTATTGTTGTTCAATGAATATCTCCTTCAGATTTTTGTTTTCATACTCCAACATGTCTGTAGCACATTATAGCAATCGTACGATCTAGTTTTTACATGGGAGCATGGTTCTGTTTTTCTTTTTCATAGCGACTAATGTGGAACAAGTTCTGAATTTGTCATGTTTATGTGGTGCATATTTAAAAGTTGTAGTTAAGAACAATCTTTTCCTTGTAGAATCCCCTTTATAAGTTAACAATCTTTTCCTTGTAGAGCCCACCTAAATTTTGATGGATGAAGCTTGGGCAAATTGGGCCTTCAGAGATAGGATGGGTGTTGAGAGATGACCAAGAAAATTTTGTAGTAGTATTCCCTGGACCTATAGAGGTTGATACCATGATAAGAGCAAAGCTCTTAGCTTCTCTACAGGGTGGCTAGGATACTGAACTGTTTGAACTTGGTGGACTTGTTTTTGAAGAATAAAGATAAAAAATTTCATTAAAAGATAAAGAAGCATTACAATCCAGGTGGCTGTCAACTGTTAAGGTGACACCAATGTTTTAAAACGCGGAAGCGTGTTGGGAGGCGTTCCACTACCTAGAGGAGTGAGGTGTAGTTCAGAACATAAGAGGTGTAAGCCTCCCAAACACAAGGAGGCGTAAGGAGGAGGAAGGCGGATCTCATTTTTCTTTATTTTTAATAAAAATCTTTTATATTAAGAAGAATGAAGCTGCATAGCACTAGTTGAAAGGGGGGCTGGGGCCCCCATCCGAAGGGGTCTAGGGGCTCCGCCCCCTGCCCACTTTATTTCCCCTTATCTTTTCTTCCCTTCCCTTTCCTTTCATTTTCTTTATTTTTCTCCTTTTTTTCTTCTCTTTCTTTCTTTTTCTTTTCTTTTCCTTTCCTTTCCTTTTTTCTTTTTTCTTTTTTCTTTTATTCTGTCTTTTTATATGAGGTGTGCATGAGGTGCATGAGGCATACGCTTCTAGCACGCCTCATGAAAAAAGCGTATGAGGCGTACACCTCAGAGGTGTCAACGCCTCTGGCATATGCCTCAGGGCATTTTGGGGGCGAGGAGGCACACCTCCAGGTGTATGCCTCCCACGCCTTTTAAAACACTGGATGGCACACCAATAATGCTCTAATCAATGAGAACACTTTCAGCATTACATGTTTGAATTTCAAGCACATCCCAAAAGCTTTTCCCCAAATCTGCTCTATCAATTTGAGCAAAAACTGGAAGGATCCAAACCCAGTTTGTCACTAGTTTTCCAATTGAAGCAACGTGACACTCAATACTCTTGAACTTATTCTCCAATGTCCTTCTGTTTCTTTCATTCCAGATGATCCAACAAACTGCAAAAGGGATGCAGCTCCAGACTATCCTAGCCTTCTCACTTCCTCTGAATCTTGGTCAAGATGAAAAGATTTCAGCAGTGTTGCTTGGCTGAAAAACTCTAACCCCAAAAAGTGAAGCTTTCCATGCTGCCTCCTCTTCCATCTTGTACATATAATAGAAGCTTGCCATGCTGAAGCCCCTATTCTTCAAGTGGTCTGCTGTTAAGGGAAACCAGCCATGCAAAAGCTTCCACCCTTGGTGGGACTGGATTCCCCCCACACCTTCTGCCTGTACTGTGGTCATATGATCTCTAATAAGGGTCAAGTAGAAGGATTTCACTGAAAATTTTCCATCCATGCTCTCCTTCTACCATAGGCCATTCCTAGATGAGGTTGAAATGTTGGACTGCTCCAATCTTTCCAGTAATAAAATACATTCTTCCAGTTCTTGATCCCTCAGTGGCCTTCTAAATCTTGGGCACCATACCACCTGATCACCTCTGACTTCATGTCATTGATCGATCCTTAATTGGTGTTAGACAGCCTATACAACCTTGGGCACGCCTCACACAACTTCCCTACTCCATTCCACTCCCCTCCCCAAATCTAACTCTAGCACCTTTTGCCACCTTGAATCTGACCAAACTCCTAAAATCCTGATTAAACTTAATTATACCTTTCCATACACTCACCCCATAAGAATTAGACACCTCAATTGATTCCCACCCAAACCTCACCAGCCCATACTTCTCTATCACCATCCTCCTCCGAAGAGAATCCCTCTCCCTCTCCAGCCTAAACCTCCAAAGCCATTTTCTCAAAAGTGTCTTGTTGAAAATCTTCAACCTTCTATTGCTCAATCCTCCCCTTTCCTTTGGCCTGCACACCTTGTCCCATTTAACTAGATGAAACTTCTTGGTTCCCCCAACTCCTTCCCAAAGGAAATCCCTTTGAATTTTCTCTACCCTCATGGCCACCTTTGATGGGATTTTCAACAATGAAAGGTAATAATTAGGAAAGCAAGATAACACACTTCTTATCAAAGTAATTCTGCCTCCAATGAGAGGCATTTTGCTTTCCACCTCTCCAACCTTTTCTCCACTCTTTCTACTAGATGCCTCCATCTATGACATGATTAGCCCAAGTGGAGGGAGGTCCATATAAGTCATAGCAAAAATTGGCTGTATGCCCTTAATGGACACAATGGAAGCACTGATAAACCTCTATAGAGTCACCACAACCACTCTTGCCACCACCTGTCATATTACCACCATCTCCACTAGCACCTTGATTGCCTCTAAATCTATGACTAACACCTTTGGAAAAACCTGTACGGCTCTACCTTGCATACTTCTATCTCCACCTCCTCCATGAGCTACTGCTAAGGTAGATCTTTCTGACATTGTTGCATTCTCAACATGTGAGCTGGATGCTCTTCCAATACAAGAAAACGAGATGGAAGCTCACTACTAGCCAAAATCTGGGCTCGAACTACTTCAAATGCTAACATTAAGCCAGATAAATGCCTCCCTTTGTTCCTATTGTGTCTTCAAATTGGTTGTGAGTGGCTGGTACACATTTAATTCATTTGTCAAACTTTTCAAGGTTGCATAATATTCCTCCATACTTTTATTACCCTGTTGGAGGGAAAAATAATCCTAATATAACTAATAGATTTGAGTCACACTATCCTGCCCTGAATACAAGTGTCTAGCATTCTCCCAAATCTCTTTTGCAATGTCCAGGAACTAGGGCTGCAAACGGATCGGGTCGAATTGGATATAGGCATATCCGAATTTGATTTGTTAACATTCGAATCTGAATTGGATTTAATCTATTGAATATCTAGCGGATTCGAATCTAATTCAGATTATAATCAGATATTAAACAGTATAAATAAATTAGACTAAAAATAACCAAAATATTATATATTATTAATAAGATGAGCTAAAAATGACTTTAATAATATATTTTATGAACAAAATGATTTGAAAATTACTTGTATAAAACTTGAACATATGACAATTTAGTGAAAATGCAACATTACGACCAACTTCAATGATAGATATAATATACTTTTTAAGTATATATGAACATATATATTTAAATCGAATAGGATTATATCGGATTGGATAGGGGTAGATCTATATTTGATCCAATTATAAACTGATCAAATTTGAATTCGGAATCGGATACCGTTTGCACCCCTACCAGGAACATAAGATTGACACTGATATGATTTTCCATGCTATTTCACAATGAGGTCATAATTTGTGCGTTATTTTGCACCCATTCACTATACCCTTCAAACCCTACTTTTGTCTTATCCTTGGTGACATATTTCAATTTTCCTCTCCCAGTCAAGGAGACTTCAACAGATTTGGCCCATAGTACATAATTAGTACCATTGAGTTATAGTGGTTAATTGAACATTCATTAGGTCAGATCGTATCACTACAGCTGAGTTGGAACTACTTGCAGAAGCAGCCATGAGACAATTTTCTTAGTTACCAAGTAGAAATTGACTACTAAGAAGAAGAAACGAGACCTCCAACCAAATAATCACCACTAGATAGTTGCGACACCAATTTTCAGCTTGGAAATTACCAAAGAACCCGGTTTACCACTCACCTAAATCAACCACCACTGTTACTTTCTTTCCTTAACACCTCCTTGATAATAGATCTCTTTCTAGCATTTCCAGCACACAATCTTCATGATTATTCTCAATTGCTTACCCCTTTCTTATTTCCCCTAATTAACCCCTCTTCTCCTGCCCTTTCTCTGACTGAATTCCTTATCCCCCTCTATATAGCTTCAGTTAACTTCCTCTTTCTAGCCTTACCTTCTTCCTTCTTTTTTAGGAAAGCCTTCAAATCATTAGGGTTCTTGAGCTTACATCATAGTTTTTTCAAGAAATTCGGCTAATGAGTCTTCCTCAGAATTTCCACCATTTGTTTTTGAATTTTCCTTTCCCACAATGCCACTAATCCTGTCCTTCAGATCTTATTCAAATTTGCTGATCCTGCCATCTCTCTACCTTCAGTAGAGACCTCCTTCACCAATTTCTTTCTTTTTTAACTATTCCAACAAGACCTCTATTGGCTCCCAAATTCTCCTTCCTCTTTTCTCATCATCTACAGATCTTGATCCTCCCTGCTTCCTTCCACTTAGTACCCAAAACTGAACTTAAAGGGATACTTGGCACAAAAAGGGGCATCTGTTGCTTTTCCCTGTTCAGGATATTGGGGTACACTGGGCACTCCAGGAAGAGATTGTTGAGGGCCGCTTTCCTTCTTGGATTCAACCCTTTGACTACTTCCACAGATCTGTTGCTCGTCCTTGTCTAGACACTTCCTGTAAGGCCTCTGGTTATTTCTTTCCATCTCCTTACAGATGCCCTGCCAATGGTCTTGATTTGGGTTTAGATCCCCCTTCTTAAGCCTTCGAGTTTCCTCCCCATTACCAAGCGTACCCTAAGTTATCACTTCCACCTCCTGTAGGACTAAGAATAGGGGTAAGATTTGCCTGTTTCTTCCCTTCATCGAAAAGTATGGAAGTGCCAAGAAAATCCTCTCCTCCTTCTGTCCCAACCTCATCTTCCAAGCTTTCTGTCTCAGAATCGGACCCTGGATCGGAATCTTCATCATGCAACAGCTGAAGGACAACCCATCCTTCATCTTCAAGATCAACATCTTCTGAACGTGCCCTCGAGTATTTGGGATTTGGCTGATCGATCTGTCTTGTTTAGTCCCTTTATAATATTTTTTCCTAGGAACCTATTGAAGTGATTATGCACATAATTTCAAGCCTAAAGATCTTGTAGAGGAGTCAACACCTTGTTGGGATGATGATAGACAGCACTTACTGTCCCCAAAAGAGGCTACAATCAAAGGGCTTACATGACTATATAAAGAGTCACATGGACGGCGTCATCACTGGTTCAGTATTCAGCCTACCTGAGCCTGCTACAGAATTGAACTAACACTTGGTTGGTTCAGAAACCACTTGTTGATCCATAAGTTTTTTTGGGCCCCACACTGGTTCAGATAAAGAACATTTTCTAACCACTTCCACAAGAGATAGCTCTTTTACATTTTTTCTTCTGAAGTTTAAACTTTTTTGAAAACCTTGGTCTAACCATCGACTTCTTCATTTGAGGTTTAGTAGGTGATTGTTCATCTTCCTCAATTATAGCACCCACCACACCTCTCCCTTCATCCTCTCTCTTCTCGCCATGTGTGCACCATCCATCCAAGTCAATGTTGTCTTCAGCCTTGGAACCAGACCTCCACAGTGATGCTTCCAATTACGAATCTATAAAAAGATCTCTATTTATTTTGATAAGTAAAAAGTACCCATATCCCAACGGATATGGATACTCTCAACTTGTTGACTCATCTTTTATGTAATAAACTTTCAAAAGAAGGGGACATTTTTATATCCCTGGTTACAATAAGACCAAAGTAGACAAGGAAAATAGAGTACAAAAGGACTATTCTACCTTTTTTCTAAATACACTTTAACAACCTTCAACCACCAAACTAGAAAAGGAGTGAGACTTGGCAATCCTTAAGCCAGATAACAAAGCTTTAGTCCATGCTTTTGATGCATTTGCTACTGCTATAGGTCCACTAAAAGCCTGCAGTAACTGGCCTCCAAATTCCAAAAGGCACCCCAAACTCTTATGGATCCAGTGCTTTTTGGGGACCTTTTGAAGAAACCATCAAACTGCATGATGAAAGTAGTCTCCAACCCAGGAGTGATCGTATGTCTTGTGGGGGAGGGGGGTGTGAAGGGAGAGGATTGTTAGATCTATAATTAGTTTCTTTCCAAATCACCAAGTCTCAAGCCTACAAAAAGTTTGCTGGTCAGCACTTAGGAATTAACAATCATCATAATTCTCCTTTGAAGATCTTCAAAAGAACAAGCCTTCTCTTCAAATATTCTTTGTTCCTCTCTGAACTTTCCCACATAACTGCATGATGATCAACTTTCTATTAGAGTGTACCCCTTTCTTCTAGCTTGTGACCAGTCCATTGCTTAAGAAAACCACAAATAGAGTTTGGAGTTATCCAATGGAAACTACACCCTTGAATCAAATCTTGAAAATGTTGCGAGAGCCTACAAGTAGTGATGCGGGGGTAGACACAAACCTAGGAAGAAATGTACATTTGAACGATCCACTTCTTTTGATAATGTCACAACTGATAATGCGACTGCACCTCTTGAATGAAAAAAGAGATTTGAGGAGGAATTGACAAAAGCCATATCCTTCTTACTAAAATAGGGGAGAGAGGAGATCTTGCATCTAGTTGATCAAAATAGGATTTTGGTAGAGTTGTTTTTGGGCTCACAAACAACCACCCACAGGATAAAACCACAAAGTGTTTGAAATGAAAGAGCAACCAAGAGAATCCAATACAAACAAAAATTAAGAAATCTAATCAAAGATGAGAAAAGCAAGCATCACCAAGAGAACAAAGGATTTACGTGGTTTATCCTTACTACCTATGTCCACAGGATAGACGAAACTGTTTTTCACTAAGAAAGAAAATGAGAAATAGTACATGATATCTTGTGATTTGCAACAACCTAAACCAACCTTTAATCCTTTTACACATATTCTCTCTTTCCTCTCTCAATTCAAAGAATTCATATAGAGAAAAGAACCCACTCTTACAAGAGCACCCTTTTTCCTCAACTTATCTTTTTTCTTCTTCTTCCCTGAAAAAAGAGCAAACCCATCATACAAAAGAGGCCTTTTATATAGAGAACCCACCTTACCTAAAGGAGGGACCACAACTGTTGTTAGATCACAAGCTAATTCAATAGTTGAAAAGTAAGACACAAACCCAATAATCTCCACCTCGGCCTATTCTTTTAGCTACCTTGAAGATCTTCCATTTGTGCCTCCATGGCTCCACCTATTTGCAAGCATTATAAACATTAATTAGCCTTAAGAAACATCACCAGCTATACATAACACAAATACTAAATAACTCCAAGGAGGGACCTTGATCCTTACTCCCTTTTGGTAGGAATTTTCCTTTCACCATCATCTGTACCCTAGAAACATACAAACTTGTCTTTGCCCCAATTACTAAGGAGACACTTCATGTGGCCAACTACTTTGTGCATTCCATTTCCAATAATCCACCGAGGTCATGGGAACTATTGTGTTCCCAACTAGATGATACAAGTCCCTGCATTTTTCTCCCTTCATCAGGACCATATTGTTGCGTATGGTTTTCATGACTCTACTTGCAACAAAGATCTTATAACCTTTGCAGTCCAATTGGCTAGGTAATATTACATTTCTATGCATCTTTGGGACATGCCACATCAACCACAGTGTGGACCACTTCATAAAACATTTTGATCTTCACTGTCCCAATACTTGTGATGTCATAAGTAGTTGCATCATCCACGGAGACAACACTTGAAATCCAAAACCTATTCATTTGGAAAAGTAATGCACATACCTTTGGAGACTGTGAGAATATCTCCATCATTCAATGCAATTGCCACACTACTAGATTCATTCCCATTTGTTTTTCCGTATAGGACAATCTCTCTTCATGTCACTAAATTCCTTGCATCTTTAACATTGTAATTTACTCTTTTCCCTTACCTTGGATCTAGACCTACCATTCTTAGATCCCTAATCAAATGAACTTATTTTCTAAATTTGTTCCCTGTATAACTATTGCAAAATCCTGCTTATTCTCATACTTGGGCTTCCTCCTAATGTCATTGGATAGGAGAGCCATAGTAACTTTATTGTATCTCCCATACAACAATGTTGTTACCAAGTCTTTGCATGAATTAGGAAGCTATTTAAGAAATGAAAGGGCCCTGTCTTCTATGCATATGCATCACACATGCTAAAAAAAGATATTACCCAATGTCGGTCCCAGCTATCTGTGGTTTTGGGAGGGGTAGACTGGATATGAACCTAACCTTTGACACTTCTTTTGTGTAAAATGGATGCCTTAGACTTGATCCTGTATTGTTATGTATGTCATCCTAAGATGCTACCATTACACCAAGCAATGGCCCCTATGCATCATAAATGCTACCTGTTATGAGATACTCATTCTCTGGTCTAATTTAGTACAGGTGATGGTGATTCAAGGCACATTGGTTTTAAAGTTCCTATGCCAGATGCTTTTGAGATAGCTTCAGTAAGTACTTCCATTTGACAGATTCAACTGTTTTGATGAATCAATTTGAGGATGTACCATGCAAATGCCTTCTTTTCCTTTTCTGTTTTTCCTCAATCTCCAGAGTGTGGTGACGGTTGGTCGTCTTCCAGAGAAAGCAGATATGGTAATTCCTGTTGCAACAGGTATTTACAAAGTCCAAATTCTTAAGTGCTTACTGTAGCCTATTTCAAAGTTCTCCTTGCCATTCTCCTCAAGGATTACATGGTTGAGTAGGAGAGGATGCTAGAAGCTCTTCTTCTTGTTCACTTTTCCATACATGTGGAGCATGTCCCACCAATAAAGAAGTCTCAAATGGGATTATGTGAATCAGGTTTCTGGTTATAAGAACATGTTTTCTACTGCTTGAATCTTTTACATTAGACCTAAAAGATTAAAAACCATTGTTTTCATAATGATCTGCTAGATCTCCTGGGAACATGTAACTTATGGGTTCTAAATACAAAGCATGGGAAAACCATGATTTTGCCATTTTGGACGATAACATTATGACCAGTACATTCAATCGGTCATCATTAATATAATCAATTTTCTTTTATCCCTTAACAGTGTCTGGCCTACATGCCCGGATTGAGAAGAAGGAAGGGAATCTAATGGTCACAGACTTGGAGAGCACTAATGGGACATTCATTGACGATAAGAGGCTCAGACCTGGTGTAGTTGCTATTCTATCACCTGGCAGCTGTATTACATTTGGTACTCCATCTCCAACTTATTCTCAACCATTGATATTTGATTGATGCATTTGGAGGCAATGTTAATCTCATATAGTAAAAAAATTCGTGTTTTCGGCAGTGTTATGTGGACTTGGACATGGGAATCAGAATCTGACACATGTCCAGGAGTCCAACTTGGTAAACCCCAAAAAGTAGGAATTATGGACTGTCTCAAATAACCTTTTAATTTGTAAATATTATGATTTTTAATGTTATTCTTAAAATTCTCACATAAATGATATTTTAATTTGTGGAGTGGATTTTGTGTGTTGTGTCCTGGTTTTCTGGGCTTGAGTTGGTTTTTGGCCCAAATGGTGTGTCTTGGTTTCTTCTGGATTTGTTCTGTTGGATGAGCCTGGTCCTTTTTACATTCTCCTTTGCTTTTCTCTTTTCAATGCATATACCTTACCTTCTTCCAAGAAAAAAAATATAAGCATAAAAACTTAGGTAGTTAAATTATAATTTAAAATTGATGTTTAATTGACAGCCTTTGCCTATTTGCCATATGGCCAGTTGGTCACACCAGTTGTTTTTCATTGTTTTCCTAATCCCAATGTTAATTTGAAAAGATGCTATAAACAATGGATCATAAATTATGTGTCAATTTCAAGAGTCCCATATTGGATAGCTTAAATGGTTAGATCACTGTTACATAGAGGCATTTAGAATGAGCCAATGAGGATTTGTAATTTTGGAGAGTTGATATGATGTGCATTTTGGTAAATCTTCCTGATTTGTACTGTAGCTGAGTCTGACACATAGTTTGGGGAGTCAGACATGAATTGACTTGTAGACACATGTTCACTTGTGAGTCTCCTCCAAAGGTGGGGTATCTGTGCAAACACTGTCTTTAAGATCTTGAAGCCTTGCTGGATTCTGCTAGGCACCCAAAGTTGGGTTAATTACACCCAATTGATACATGGTTGAAAATTTTCTTGTATTTTTTTTTCTTTAAAAGCCTGAGTATTATCATATAAAAAAAGTCCCATGGTATGAAATGAATCTATTCATGAACTAATTCACAAAGGCTCAAGTCTCCCTTTATAGACACCAATTTCACCTTGGAAACGGTCTCAAAACAAATTCTATCTCCTAACATAACCTAAATATCCATTATTATTAAAACTAATCATAGACAATAAAAATTACTAAAAATACTAAGGTAGCGTTTGATAAAATTGAAATCTGAAACCTGAAAAACAAATAAGCTCTTTTAAAGGTCTGATATCTAGAAACAACAAATATGCTTTTTTCTAGAGCCTCTGAATATAATATACTGCTTGGATTGTTTGGATCCTATAACGTGTGATAACTGTCATTTTTACAGTTTTACCCTTAGAAACAGTCTATTTGATAAAATCTGAATTCTATTAGCACTGAACATCATTTATTTTGCATATTTTGTAATAAAAATGAATATGTACAATATATGTTTTCATGAATAATAATAGAATGTTTTCATGAATCTTTTAATAACTATTAATAAATATTAGTATTTACTTATTTTTAAAATTACAGAAAAATATTAAAAAGGTTTTTAAAATATATTAAAGATCATGGGAAATTATGGAAATAATTTTTAATTAGCAATAAAATTATGGAAATATATGTTAAAAATATATTAATGAAACCTAAAGTATTATACAAATAATATTTAATTAGTATTAAAATTATGGAAGCTATTAGCAAATTTAAAAATATATTAAGAAATTATAAACTATTATATAAATAATATTTAATTAATATTAAAATATGGAAAATATGAACATTTTTAAAAATACATTAATAATATATACTTTTCAAAATTATTATTTAATTAATATTGAAATTATGGAAAATCTTATGTATATAAGACTATCTTAAAAATTATAAAATATTTAATTATAATAATGTAAAAGTTTATAAAATAATAATAAAATATAGACAACTAGCAATACAAAATTATGGGGATATTGACTATATTTTTAGGAGGATGTGGTTCAATATGGATCGGAAGCAGTGGATAGCTGGTTGTATTTTGTATCCCATGTTCTTAGTGATTACCAATGAAGCTTTTGAGGGTTATTTCAAAGGTGAGAGGGGCTTGTGTCAAGATGATCCCATATCTCCCTTCTTATTCTCACTGGTAGTGGATTCGTTGGGGAGAATGATCAACAATGCAGTTGAGGGAGGTTACATTGAAGGGTTCATTGTTGGTGATGGTCGTATCTTTGTTACAGTTTGCTAATGACACCCTTATCTTTTCTAGGGAAAGCCAGGCTGATTTGATGTTCCTTAGGTGCCTGTTGATTTGTATTGAAGTTGTTTTTGGCTTTTTGGGTTGAAAGTTAATCTCCTAAAAAGCTAGATTATCCTAGTGGGGAGATTCCACATCTTGCCGAGTTTGCTAGCACTCTTTTCTGCTGGGTGGGTGCTTTGTCAACTAAGTATTTTGGACTTCTTCTTGGAGCCAAAATAAGCCTAGATTGACCTAGCTGGGTGGGTGCTTTCTAGGGGTGCAACTTGGCTGGGACCAACATAAGCCTAGATTGACCTAGCCTACAATTTTACATAGGTTGGGCTTGGATTTTATCCTCTGGCTAGGCCTGGGCCCAAGACTTTGGGCTTTTTATTTTTCTAGCCCAAACTTGGCCTGACCTTATCCTTATGTGAACCCAACCCGAGCCTGGCTTGATTCTATATATTCGTACATAAATGGATACATTCACACGTGGACATGAATGTTAAATTTTATAGTAGGCTCATTGACCAACTTGAGCCCAGCTTGGGCCTAAGCCCAACCCAAGTGCACTAAATTTCAATGCGGGTTGGGAAGGTCAGGCTTGACCTCGGTCTCAGACCTTGGGTAATCTTAGGACTGGGCATGAGTTGACCATAAACCTGGCCCAGTTTGCCAGACTTGCACACCTATATATTGCCCTATGGAACCCAGTCATAGAGAAGTGCAAGATAACTAGAGAAGTCTCTCAGGTTGGAAGGGACAATTTTTGTCAAAAGATGGAAGATTGACCTTAATTCAAAGTGTCCTTTCAAGCTTTCCAACTTACTTTCTCTTTTCTCCTTACCAGCCTCAGTTGCTAACACTATAAGAGAAATTGAGAAGGGATTGCTATGAGAAGGCCCTAATGATTTTCAATGACAACTGCCCTCTACTTTTTCCTTCCTCCATGGCTAGCTTTTTTGCTTCAATCATTGGCTCCTCTCACCATCTTATCACTGGAACGAAAGCTTCTTCTCTCCCCTCTCGCCATCTTTTCTCCCCTCTCTCCCTATGTTGTAACACCTTCTTGCCAAGGATAGCTCTAATTTTCCAGTCTCTTAGTAAATCGAATATACTTCCTTTGGGAAATAAGGATTCCCTTATTAGACTGAGCAACTTCCATACCAAGGAAATACTTAAGAGGGCCAAGATCCTTCACCTCAAATTGTGAAGTTCGAAATTCTTTCAACTTATGAATCTCTTCTTCCCAATATCCGGTAATCACAATGTCATCCACATACACAATCATAATGGCAACAAGATATCCCCTTCTTTTTACAAACAATGTGAGGTCAGTGTGACATTGCACAAATCCAACCATCATCCACCTCATCCATTGTCATCTGAATGGCTTCTGGCTTACCTTGTTGATCTACTTTGTGAAAAGGAAAATCAACTCTTTTATTAATTGGGGGATATGAATTTCTACAATGCCTACTCAATTAACATGTAGGACACACCAATGATGACAAAGAAATTGACTTAAACAAATGCGAAAACAAGACCTTCAAAGAAGGAAAGGATAAATGACCAAAATGACAATGCCAGAGGTAAATTTGGTCTTTATTACACTGACCTTGACTCTGACTCAAAAAACTGGTTCCCTTCAAAGAATCTGAAGCTATAGAATCCAAAATAGTAGCCATCTATCATATGTCCTCTAGCAATCATTCTCCCCAAAGTCAGTAGAAGTCTGCTGAATTGAAAAATATAAAAGAAAAGTAGTTTCTTGAAGAGAGAAGGAAGAGAGAAGGAGAAGAAGAGAAGAAGAGAAGTTGAAAAGAAAAGAGAGCAATAATCTGGCCGCCCCCTTCACTTATCATTTATACTAAAATAATAGAACAATACAAAGACAACTATGCCCTCATAGGACGGCAAAACATAAAACAACATATATAACACTCAAAAACATAATAAAAGTTGGACTCACATAACTAATGTGGTCCCCACCTCCTATCTAACAACTAACATAAAACATCTACTTAGAAAAACATCATAAAAGTAATTAATCTTCAACAAAGTCAAATCTTGGAAAACACAAGAATCAGGGAAAAAGGTTATTGAACAATTCACAGACTTTGTTATACAACTAATAGAAAGAATTTTGAAGGCATTTTGGGAATATGATAAACATCAGGAAAATAAAGGATCCACCAGCAAGTTTAACCTTATCCTTACCAGATAAAACACAATAAGATGAAAAAAGTGAAAACTTACCAGTCATATGGTTTGTGGCCCTTGAATCGATGATCCTAGGTGACAGAGGGGAAGGATGAAGCGTGGAGGGCATGGGCTTGGTTACCTGAATTTATTGTGTAATAAGTGGAGGGAGTAATAGAAGTTTCCTTCAATTGCCTAAGGACACACCCAAATTGCTCAATCTGATCACGCATAGTACTCAGAAGACCTTCCTTGGGTACAGATGCCACTAGCTGAACTGGAGAAGTGTTACCCTGAGTCAATAGTTGTCCATCTTGGATAGGTGTGGAGGAAGCAATATTATTTGCATTAGATAATCTATTCTGCTTCCCCTAAAACTTCTTAGGTTACCATGCAAGTCCCAACAAAACTCTTTTGTGTGACTGGATCTCCTGCAATTATTGCACCATAACTTATCCTTATCACATCTGCTCCCCCTCAATGGGATTCATAGCTGCCCTCCTAGTTTCTTCAGACTGAACTAGAGCGAAAACTTCTTCAAGGCCTGGAAGCTCTTTACC